CATTTCTAATATGCATGTATTGATTTTTTAAAGATATTATTTATTTATTAGAGTGTGTGTACGAGGTGGGGGAGGGGCAGAGGAAGAGGGTGAAGCAGACTTTCCACTGAGCGCGGAGCCCAGTGTGGGGCTCAATCTCAGGACCCTGAGATCATGACCTGAGCTGAAGTCAGACACTTAACCAACTGAGCCACCCAGGCGCCCCCAATCTGTATGTATGCTGACCTTCAGTGAACAGCATTGTGAATACCAAGAACCCAGGAGTTGTTCCTACCTCCCCCTACTGTTGCATTTCCATATCCAATCTCTAAATCCTAATAATCCATTGATATTAAGGTAGCTGGAAGCCATTCCGCTCTCTTCATATAGCACCATATTCAGGCTCTCATAATCTCGCAACTGAATTCCCAAGCCGCCTCCTAACAGGCCCCCTGGCCCCAGTGTTACTCCTGCTCACTCCAACCTCTGTGCTGCTGCTGGTGTGATCTTTCTGAAATGTAAAAGGGATTCCGCTGTCTAAAACTCTCCACTTGGCCCCTGCAGTTATAAACTCCTTAGCCTGTTTACACAGTGCTGCTCATCTGCTGTGGTGGCCTTCACATCAGCACACGGTCACTCTAGCTAATTCAACAAGCAATAGGGCCAAGATGCTGTATTGCTCTTTCTTCTCTCTCCAAGCTTTGGTTTCTGTTTCCATGTGCTTGGAATGCCCCTTCTCTGACCCCATACTCCCCGGAGAGAGACAGGCATGGAAAGCGAGCAAGTGTGGGCAGTAGAGACGGGTGTGCAACACGATGTAGAAGGACACTCACCAAAACTGTTCGTGGGGATCCCTACAGGATGGGGTGGCAGGGGAGGTGTTAAGGGAGTGGAATTGCATGATATACTTTTTGCCTTCCTATAATGCTTATGGATTTTTTTATTGAGAATATGCTTAATTTATCTCTTTATATTTTTTCACCACATTTTCCCATCCTCACCTTCAGAGATACTGATTCAATGGGGAAGCATCCAGGATTCTGATCTTCCACAGCTTCCCCACCTCCCCCTAGACTCTGTTAATCAGTTTTGGGAATCATGGTTGAAATGATTATTTCCCAATATAAGGCAACTGACACCTCTGAGAAAAACGTCAACTCTATTATACAATACTTTTTTATTATTTCCTTTTCTTTTGTAGTAGCTTAATTCCACTACCAATACATATTCTCATGTCTCTACTACACTTGAATTATCTGTACGAATTATAATAGCCTTGACAGCCATCTAAATAGCCACATTTGAATAAAGGGCCTAAATAATCATTGTAAAAAGCATGTGTTTGTGCAGTAAGTTTATAAACCATTTTAAAATTAAGGCAAACAAGAAAAAAAAGCTACAAATACAAGTATCACGGCTTCTTAAATCCTAAATTTTTAACACTAACTTAAGTACCATTTGATTGGTTCTCAAAACAATGGCTATTCTCAAAGTATAAAATAGAAAGTTATTATAAATATCAGCTTTGGTATAACATATACCTATTTCCCTATTTTCAAGTTTTTGACTTTGGGAAAATATAAACATGTAAGTGTTCTTATAATTAACTTTCGAAAATATTTATAATACCCTAAAATTCAGACATTAGAGCATCTATTTCTTTAAATTTGTTAGTTATATTTTCAATACATTCTCCAGCTTTTAATTTTATCCCATCAATTATAAGATAGTCCTCTTCATAGTGGTTTTCAAATGGACTGCCTGCTGGAACTTCAGGGTTGCATTTAGGTAACTGTAAAAATAACCACACAATTCATCAGAACTACATCAGATTTACTGGAAGAACAGGCTTAATTATTTGAATAAAATGTAAAGTAGTCAGTAACTTCACAAGCCACAGCAGTTACACAAAGCATTCCGTTATGCTGGTGGTCAAATAATGATCCCCATGTAGAGTAGAATGTATAGTAAATGTGTTAATATGAGAAGAACTGATTATTCAGGCCCTATCTCTTCTCCCCAACTTTATACATATTTAGTTTTAATATTAAGCTTTGGGAAAACATGATCAGCTTCATTCTATGAGTTTTCTATATTTGTTTATTTTTCAAATTATTATTATAGGGAATACAACTTAAAACCATTTAAATCATTTTCTCTGGTTATCTTCTCATAAGCCTCTGCATTACTTACAAATAGCAATTGTTTGCTCTAGCTCAGTAGGAAGGGACACTAGTAAAAACAATGCAAACAACCATAAACACACACAAGATTTATAACTTCAAGGCTCATTAAAGGTAGAGTGAACCTCCATGAAATTAAGAAAAAAAATAATTTATACAAGTATTTTCCCGTATCAAAAAATGTACCTTTTAATACAAATAATTATTCACTAAACTCTGTCTTATTTATATATGGCTTATCTAATTCAGGTGGATTTTATAAAAATCTGATATTAATTCCCTCTCATTGCTTGCAAAGCCGGGGCATGACAACCAGTGTTAATATTAGCTAAAAAGTGTAATGAGGAAGGTGACTCTACTAAGGAAAATAATCTTATAAAACATTTCAGTGACAAATAGAAGAGAATTTTGATTATCCACGTGTGTATGCATTTTTTTTTTAATGTTGCTACTCTCACCTATTGGTATAAATGCTTGAAGAGTAATCAACCTGAACCCTCATACGTGAAATGAAGGATGAAAACCATCAAATTTACAACTTTGAAAAGAGCTCAAACAATATCTGCTCAGAGAATAAACATGCTCAGAACCTTAAAATTACCAGGTGGCTCTTTTGCGGATGTTAGCTTGTAAGAGGCCACTTTCTCCTGCAAACACAACACAGCTCCAGTTTTAAGTGGTGTTAACTTTGGAAGCCATACTAATTTTCCTTACTAACTTAAAAAAAAGAGAGCAAGAAAAAGAAAAGAAAAGAAAAGAAAAGAAAAAAAAAAAGAAACCCCTGGGGTGATCATTTCTTTTCTTCTAAACTGGAAATTGTTCCAGCTTTGATAGTTGGTTTCATTGCTATTCTCCTCATTTAAAAGTGAACAAGGTCCTAAATATACTGAACCTGGTATGAATGCCAGGCTTACAAAGCTCAGTGCAGAGAAGGGCTTATGAACCAGTCTGCAGGGGGCACTTACCTGCCTGCCAGCAAGTTAAAATGGTTAATTTTTACAATTCCTCAATGGCTTTTGAAAGCATAAAATATTACAAGAATCTAAAACAAAAAGCAAGCTCCTGCCTGGTGATATATTAAAACTATGTATTTTACCTTAAGAAATAAAAATCAGAAGTCATTTTCTGTTCTATCATGTTACTGGTTATAATGGTAAAACAGAAGCCAATTCTGTGGCTGTAAAAGCCCCAGGACATCTCTATAAAAATCAACCTGGCCGGAGTTTTGAAAAGACAAACTGCAAAAACTGAAAACACATTGCACACAACCATATGGTGCTCCAACAAAGCACACATTTGCTAGGAAAGAATAATTTGTATATTAATTACATGTATATAATATATATGTCACCAGTCTATAGATCTTGTTTTACAGAAGGTAAGATCTATACAGAGAGAACAAGTTTTCTCAAAAAGGGGCTCTAATTGGAAAAATGGCATTCACAACCCATGCAAATTCAAATACAGGTTGATATTGCTGGTGCTAATTAAGAAAGCTATGTTTTTCAAGTTGGTAAGAGTTTTCAGCATTAATTTTATTTTCTTTTGGCATATTGATCTCTTTAACTGTAACTCTTGTATATTTTGATTTCTAAACTCAAGAAGGGAGGTGTTTACGAATCATCTTTTTTCTTTTTGGGAGTCCTGAATGAAATCACCCAATTGGGCAGTCTACCAAAGTGTGTAAACAACCTTGTCCATATACAAATCCACCTTTTCCAGCATCTGAGAAGAGACCCACTGGGGAACAGGTAGTTGCTCCAAGTGAGAATGTGAGAAAAGAGATGAAGTAAGGAAATCTCAGCCCTTACTCTCCGGTGACCGCCACTGCCAATTCTCATCTGTAATAACAGCTAACCTTAGGTGTCAGTTACTATGCAAAGTATTTTTCCCGGTTTGCCTTATTTAAAAAAAATCCTCTGTGGCATGTGATAAGCAACTGTGCCAAATTACACAAGTCCTCAATGGCAGGACTAGGAGTGGGACATTGATATGATATTCCAGAGTCAGTGCTCCTAACCATTGTGCTCTCTCGACTCCAGGCACAGTATGTATCTATACAAATGAATGAGAGAATGAATGAAACCTTAAGGATACAGGACTTCTTGCTGCCATTTTTCTCCCTATTTCGAGAACAGCTGTACTGCCTTGTGGAAGTGTCTGCGTTATGACTTATTTTTCTCACACCTACCACATTGCTGCTCTGTATTAATGACCTGGGCTCGCACCCTCATTTTATTTGCACGACATGGAGCTGATGTGCTGAGCAGCTTGTCAACCAACTTAAAATTTATGTTGCCACATACAAATATTGAATAAAGTAAGCACACACTTACTTAGCCCAACATAGGTAGCCAAAAGAAAAAAAGAAGGAAAATTCTACCTCCAGTGTGTTAATAATGAGGTCTGTCCCTGCAGAGGTTGTTCTGTGCACGAACCAGGTAGGGCAGATGTCCTAGCAAGCTGCCCTTAGCCTGGCCCGTTCTCCTGACTGTTAAGATGGGCAGCAGTGGAGAGGTCTCTCTGCTGTGGCACCCCATCAGCTACTGTGAGCTCCCCCCCATTCCTTCTTCATTCCAGCCTCAAAGATCTGAAATACAAAGAGTTCCTCCGCTCACAGATTTTTTTTTTCTCCAAAGACTGATAGATGTATTCTGACTTTTCAACGGGCTACTAGTTTATTATTCACTTCAGGATAATCAAGGGCTCAAATTTCAGAAGGGAAAAAAGAGTTCTCCATATAATTAAAATGTACATCCAGAAACAATTTCTGCCATGTAAAGAACCTGAAGTTGCTGTTTAGGCCTGATCATGGGCTACTTTTGCTCCTGCATTTACCTCCTCTTCCCGCTCCTCTTCGGACTCATCAGGGGCCGCGGTTGGCTCTAGCGCCTGCTGCAGCATTTGCTCCAGCTCTTTCAGCATAGCCTCTGTCTCAGAGACAACTAAAAAACATCAGTAAAAAAGGCTACATCTTCATTAATTCAATCAAATCCGTAATCTTTTTTTTTTTTTTTAAAGATTTTATTTATTTATTTGAGAGAGAGAATGAGATAGAGAGAGAGCATGAGAGGGGGGAGGGTCAGAGGGAGAAGCAGACTCCCCGCTGAGCAGGGAGCCCGATGCGGGACTCGATCCCGGGACTCCAGGATCATGACCTGAGCCGAAGGCAGTTGCTTAACCAACTGAGCCACCCAGGCGCCCTCAAATCCGTAATCTTAACCACCCCAAAAGAGAACATCGTCTAAATGGGCCAAGATAAAAAAATAAATATTTTGTATAATTTTCATGTATGACCTCTGCTTGATGCAAAATAATTATGGATTTCCAGGTGAATATTTTACACTTATTCCTTTAAAAATGTAGGTGATATTCTTGCTATGGTCACAAAAAGCTCACTAGAAGAGTTTTTTGTTTTGTTTTGTTTTTTTAAATCAGGGCCAAACTAAATTGTTTTTTATAAACCAGGGGTCAGCAAACTCTTCCTGGGAAGGGAAAGAGAGTAAATATTGCAGGCCTTGTGGTCTCTGTCACCACCACTCATTTCTGCTGCTACAGTCCAAACCATAGACATGTACCTAAACAAATGCGAGTCACTATGTTCCTATCAAACTTTATTTACAGAAGCAAGTGGACTGTGGGCCACAGTTTGCCATCCCTCCAGTAAATTCTTAAAACTACTGTTTAAAAGGGGAAACCATGTAATTAAATGGCTAGGCTAAACACAGGCTAGTCTATTCCTAATTCAAACACCAACAAATCTTAATTGCTTAATCTGATATCTATCTGTATCTATCTATCTAATCTATCTATCTATATATGTAGATATAGATATATTTTAAATACCACACTTAAACAAAATTTGTGTGTGTGTGTGTACTACTGTGACATGAATTCACTGAACTTGCTGAGATAAAATAATAACCCCACAAAAGAAATAAACTACTATATAACTCTATAGACTCAACTACTGATTAATAACATGCAGTTGAATTCCTGACTTAAATAAAATAAACATTTTTGTTTGATATAGTCTTGTTGAAGTAAAAATCAAGGAGACCACGTGTGGCCTGCTGTCCTGTACAACAGACAGATTGAGCATCTGAGAAGCCCTTCCAAAGGCAACATGATTCAAAGACAGAGGCCATGAATACACACCCCATCATTTTCCACTCTGGTGACAAAAAGCTGACATACCACCTCCTATTATCCGCCATTCTTTGGCAGGTCACCAAAAATCACACTAGGTAGAGCAGCTAAAAGTTCGTGGGACATGAAAATAGACCCAAGCAGGACATACGCTTTCAAGCTAAAATATTATCAATGAATATGGAAGCAAGGCATTCTCAGCACTAAGTTTTAATCTAATTGTTGAACATACTTCAAAATTTTCTAACTAATCATGTTTAGGAAGAGTGCATATGATATAAGCATCCCTTTATGTGTGTGTGTGAACACACACACAGGCATCCTTGTAAACTAAGCATGTTGTAAGGTAAAAAACAGAGATTGTTAATGTGAAAAGTTTTATGTTTCCTTTCCTCCAGTTCAAAAGAATCCATGTTTTATCAGAATCTTCTTTGTTGATAATCTTCTCTCATCTTTCACTCATAAGAAGGAAATTTTAGTGACTTAAAAAAATTTTTTTTAAGGTTTTATTTATTTATTTGACAAAGAGAGACACAGCGAGAGAGGGAACACAGCATGGGGAGTGGGAGAGGGAGAAGCAGGCTTCCCACTGTGCAGGGAGCCTGATGCGGGGCTCGATCCCAGGACCCTGGGACCATGACCTGAGCCAAAGGCAGACGCTTAATGGCTGAGCCACCCAAGCGCCCCAGGAAATTTTAAAATTCTGCTAGAACATTATTAAATAATAGTGTTAAAGTCATGGGAGGTTATGAAATAGAAAATTTTCCCTTTCTTGGTTGTCACTACAGTATAAAAAAATTTTTAGTTAACATTTTTCACATTATAATTTTATCTAATAAATAATAAATAATTTTTCTGTCAATACTTATCACTTGCCCCAAGTACTTTTATATTCATTCAACAAATATCAATTATTTGCCTACTAAGGGCAAGGGACTCAAGAGAGTAGGCACAGACCAATGAACCTCCCTGGCCATCATCTCTTCCCAGCCAGTCTTAGGTTTTCTCTATGGAAGACTTCTTTCAAAACAGTTTGAAAGTAGCATTCTGATAAGCCATTTGCATACCACAGAACCAGTTCTTATGTTTAAAAACACAACAAAAACTATAACTGACCTGTTAGTTTTGTCCACATATATATATGTTCTGTGTAATTGCTAAAGCATAAGAACACAGAGTTTGAACTATTGTGTTCTAAAACAATGGTATTCCAAATTTGGTAATAAGCATAAGAATCACCTGGAGGATTTACTACAAAAACATGAATGCAACCATGTCTACTGACTCAGAATTTTCTAGAGGTATGTACATTTTTATTGAAGCAATTTTGTTAATGGAATTAACCTCTCTTTATGAGAGATTTCCTACATAGTAACCTGTTACTTAACAGACAACTACTTGTGGTTATCTTCACACTGATTCTCCAGTCCCACTCACGGATATTGTCTTTTCCTACTTTACATTCTGAGTCTACAGAAATTGATACTGACATTTAATGCACTGTTGAGAAGATGGATTTTGAGCTACACTCTAAAGGAAAAATGGCATGCAAACATCTTTATATTTCTAAGGCTAGGCTAAAATACAATCAATTTATGATAATGAATGTCATTGCCGAATGGCATCGTAGTCCCTCCATTTTCAAGTGATCTGGAAAAATATGTACATTGCCTTTTGATCAAAGGGTAGACAAAGTAATGGATGACTCCAACATAACACCGGGTTCAGGGTTCATAACACCAACTTGATTAATGTCAAATTCTGCCACCAGAGCAATGGGAGGTTTGCTTTTCTAAATAGGTATTCCTATATTGTAAATGGATAGAGTTCAAAAATAATTCTCAAGAAACTGTAATCTACAAACTAGGTTATCAAAATTGGCCAATGATATCCTCCAAAGATAGAGACAGAATGAATGCTTTTGCTGATTGCATGACCAATCATCTTCTATCAATACTGATTATCTTGTAGTTTCCCTGACTTGTTTCAATTTGTTGTTTAGAGTAAAGTGGTAGCATTACAGTTATTCCATCACTCAGAGAAAATTCTTTAAAAAGGTAAGAAAAAGGTATCTCTTATATACGTATCTGGCTTTTAAAAGTGAATTTTTATAAAATGATCTGTGTAGTTTTTCCATTCCTGATAAGAAGTAACTTACTGTTGGTCTCAATAAATCAGTTGCTATTTTAAAAGTCTTCAAATGTATATTTATAGAGTTTTCTCCAATCTCTACTTTTCTAGTAAATCTTTAAAGAGGCTGTTTATTTCCTATGTAAAGAGGCTACTGGTTAGGCTACCTACCCCAAAGCTGGCACTGAAAAATATCATCTTCAATAAACTGCCAGGGTCATTTCAATATTGAAATTTTGAAGGCATTCTTATGGAAGAGGGGGAGGAAGACAAAAAAGTACTTGGGTTTTGTGTTGTTATTAAGTAACCACAAACACTCCTCTTGTGTGCTCACAGTTTAAATGTAGAGATGAGTAAAATACAAGTTGGAATGTAATGAAGAAGAGAGCACCGTTCCTGGAGACACAAATAGAAATAGGGGGCAAGGAGTTTTCTAGGAAAGGCGCAGGTAGGCGAACCCTACCTTTTAGTCTATAGGTTAAAGGTAGCTCCAAACCAAGAGTAGGTGGGCAAAGTTTGTCCTGAACAGCAAGAAATCACCTTTCTCCCTGTCACGCCTTCTACCTCCCAGCCCCAGCCCCTAAGGCCTTCATGCCCCAGCCCCCCTCCCCTTTGGGCTTTCCCCATGATTCAGACCTTTCCTGTATTAACCATCCTTTTCCATGCTTATCTGTCTCAGGTGGCTGATGAATATATCCTTTGCTAATTTATTAATGAATGCCATAGATTATCAGTTGAACCCGGGTAATATGCCAACCTTTCATTTATTTAAACTTTTATAGATTGTCTACTACCCAAAAAGAAATGAGGTATTTACCAACAAAAACCAATGATACAACAAAACAGACGACGAAAACCCAAAGACAAAAAGAAATCCAAATCAGTTCATTAAAGGGGGTATGAAGGGCAATAACGAAATCTTAAAATTGCTTAGGTCAGCTACCAGTACTGCACCCAAACCCAACAGAGTTAGCTTAACGATTCCTGATATTCAAAGCAACCAAGGAAACAGCTGCACACTTTGATTAATTTTAAGAAGATACGTGACTTAGAAAAACCATATAACCTCTTAAATGTCTCGGTTTCCCCATTTATAAAATGGGAGATATAATATCTACCTTATTTACTTCATATAGATCTTACAAGGGCTAAATAAATATATACGAAGTGTTTAGAACAGTGAAGACACATAGTAATTGTTATAGGTGTTGGCTACCATTATTACTAGTGGTATTATTATTTCATCATTGTAGATGAATTTTCTTGTCCCTAAACACTGAAAAAAAATGAATTAGAGAGACAGTACAAATATAATTCATAATATTCCTGGTAGTAATTTTCCCCAAAACACAGATCTGCTCAACAAATAGCTATTTCTTAGATTAAATCTGCATAGCCATGGGCATACAGTTTCAATTATTGAATGATTCCTCAACTTTTTCTATTAATTTCCAGAAGTCCTCTCCTTGTTGGATAAGAGGGCTTCTACTGCATGTCTTAATCACAGATGAAACAAGTGACATGTGGACAGGTAAAGTAGCTACACTTAATTAGCTCTCCTCCTGACTTCTAACTAAGGAAGAGAGAAAAGCAAAGGGTAGAGTTTAAAACCCAGAAAGGAATAGCAAATCTGGGCAGTAGGTTGATGGGAGACTTTAGCACCTGGGAGTGTAAGGAAAGTGGCTCCAAAAAGCAGGGCAGACATTCAAGAAGACGGTATAATTTTCACTTGTTCTAAGACTGATCCTACCTCAAGCCAAGAAGAAAAGGAGTGATTTCAGAGACTTAGATTAAGGGATCCACTGAAATATGGGTAGGGGTAAAAAACTGAGGGGGCTTAATCCACTCTTTCAAGAAGTAGTCAGCTCTTGCAAAGAACACAGTAGACTAGATGTTTCTGCTTTTTAGTTGTTTGAAACGGGATAAAGGAGTAAAACATTGATTAGATTAATGATTTGAACAATTAACTATTGAGACTTGAAAGCCACACAGAATGTGAGACTCCTGAAAGGGTGTCAGTGGATAACTATGGAGATGCATTCACTCATTTATGCAGAAGAGTGATTTCTAGTCAATGGATTCCTGGCTCTGATAGCTCTCTTCTGCGGTAGCCCTTTTGAGTCGAAGGCGGAAAGGATCCCAGCATTGGAGCCCTTAGCTGCAGTACCAAGGTCTCCTAGTGGGAACTCAGTCCAGGGATAAACTGCCTTTTGCCTTTCTACAGGAATATTTGAACTAATTATGTGAGGCAAAGGGACAACATAGCCAAGAAAAGGCACCCATGTTAGCAGGAAAGTAGCAGCAGAATAAATTTAAGAAGAGATAGAAACAACAGAATTTTGGGGCGCCTGGGTGGCTCAGTTGTTAAGCGTCTGCCTTCGGCTCAGGTCATGATCCCGGGGTTCTGGGATCGAGCCCCGCATTGGGCTCCCTGCTCGGCAGGAAGCCTGCTTCTCCCTCTCCCACTCCCCCTGCTTGTGTTCCTTCTTTCGCTGTGTCTCTCTCTGTCAAATAAATAAATAAAATCTTTAAAAAAAAAAAAAAAGAGAAACAACAGAATTTTGTAGTGGTTTAGGAGAGGAACAAAAGGATTTAAAAAAAATAACTATTCTGCCCCTCTTCTGACTGCTTTCCTTTTTCTTTTAATAAGACTAAAGATGAATGGCTTATTTAGTCAGTTGAAAAACAGTGCCATAGGACCTGGGGGTGGACACAATGGAGAGGGAATATGGCGCGGATAACTACTTGGGGTTTAATGGGCTTTGGAACCTCTTTGCGTGGCTGCCAAAGTTCCATCTTACATATAAGCACTTGCCTGCTTTTCAAGACTATCGAAAATGAAGGAAGAGTAAAGCTCCTTTGAACACTAAAACTTTCTCCCTGCATTCCACATTCACCCCACCGTGTTCTAATACCAATGGCAATTAATTCAGCTGGAAGCCCTAGGCTGCTGCTTTTCTTTTTCTCTCCCTTTGGCACCCCAAGGACCCCAATAATTTTGGAATGGAGAGCTCTGGATTTTAATGTATTGATGCAGGTATTTCCTCCCACAGCCACTGGTGCTTTATTTTTTTAAAAAATTAAATACATGATAGAGCCAGAGAAAATTTAATTCACAGAGATAGAAACCTAAAGACAACTGAAGAGATCTAGTATGCAAATCAATACCAAAAATGACCCACTAATAGTTCTCATATATGTATTTATGTACATTTTTTTCTTCCAAAAATTACAACTACATTTGGTAGAATTAAATAGAAGTAAAAGAACTAAAAGCAGGAGAGGTTTTCACATACCCATGTTTTCCTTTGATAAGGCATCATCTGAACAAACATTTTCAAAAGAGAATTTAAAAATAGCTTTCCTAGAAAAAGAATTTGACAGATTTAGTTTCAAAAGAACAATCATGTATATTTAAGTGGCCATTTGTATATTCATTGATAATTATAAATTATGAATATATTTCTTTATCTTGAGGTAAGTTTCCTTGGTTGTTTTATACAGTAAGACAGCACGATACAGTGAAAAACCAAAGGGAAATAATATTGATCTGAGCTCTCACTAGGTGAAAAGCACTAATGACCCACCAAGTACCTTATATAGGCTTTTTCATGCAATCCTCCCCCAGAGAACCTACTAAGGAATTGCTACTCTGATTTTATAAAGAAACTGAGGCTCTGAGAAATTGAGAAATTTGACAATGTAGGAAATGGTTGAACATGACACAGCTAAATTCTGTCAGACTGCAAAATCCATGCTTTTCCCACAACACTGTGTTGCTGACTTAGAGAACATTTGTTCAAATGCGTCTTCTCTAACCATAAGATCTTGAGAAAGCCACTTAGTTTCCCTAAGTCATAAGTTTTTCACCTTTTAAATAGAGATGATTATGATACATCCCCTACCTATTTGATGGGGTTATTGTGAAGTATAACTAAGATAAGGCAGTAAGGCCTTTTTAAAAATTTAATTATTCATCCTCTGAAGAAGGACAAAGAATAAGAGAAGGACAATCATATCAGAGTCAGACTTTGTCTTTGAGCAGGACTCAATACAGCACTGATTACAAGTCATCAAAAAAATAAGTAAATTAACTGTGTGGTTGGTTCAATGATAAACACTAAAGCTTGTCATCGGTGGCTTATCAGTTCATTATAGAGGCCTGTTTCTGGTTTGCACTATTTTTAAACCAAACACCTGCTTCTCATCTGCTTGCTCACATGATATTAATCTTTGATAGTTCTGCTTCAACATATCTGTATAAACATAAAACTTTCTCCATACTTCTAAAACTACTACTTATCACCTTAATTCTTTTAGAAAATTTTAATGTTTCCCTAGAGAAAAAGAATCAAGAATCAGGGGGCAATGTCATAATAACTAAATTACACACACACACACACACACATATATATACACATTTCAATTTTATCATAATATTTTTCAATAAAGAAATACCTTTTCCTTCTTCTAAATTTTGGCTTCTTCTTTTCAGTAGTGTTTTTGGAAACTTGCATCTATAAAATAAAAACAAAAAGATGAGTTAGTTCAAATGGGACTAGATGAGTTCAGTAAGGTAATGGGTCCTATATGGTCCAAGTAATTTAGTCCAGAAGAAAAACTCTGGCCCACAGCTCTCAACCACACCTGGAACCCCAAGTCAACCACTTCACAGTCACTACAATTACACTGATCTGCTCAACTTCCAGGAATAGTAGACTAATCCAGTGAGTGCCCATCTCCCATGTCCACCCCCCTTCTCACTTCACAAACATATAACAACACTAGACAAAACAATCTTTATGTTTTAAAACATAGATGACCTTTAAAGAAAGAAAAAGAACTATTCAGATGCCAGAAACATAAGGGGTGCAACACTATATGGATAGGAAGTGACATGGTAAAGGCCTACAAAAAATGTATACCAGGATAGGGCCAAAAGGGTTTGGGATTTTAATATCTAAGCAAAGACGAGATGAAGGATGTGGAGAAATTGGCACCTCCATACATTGTTGGTGGGAACGTGAAATGGTGGAGCCACTTTGGAATACAGTTTGACAGTTTATCTAGATGTTAAACAGAGAATTACCTTATGATTCAACAATTCTACTCCTAAGTATATACCCATGAGAAGTGAAAACATTATGTCCATACAAGAAATTGCATATAAATGTTCATAGCAGCATTATTCATAATAGCCCCAAAGTAGAAACAACCCAATGTCCATCGATGGATAGATAATATATATTCCATACAATGGAATATTATTTAACCTTTAAAAACAACAAAGTCCTGACAAATACTAAAACATGGATGAATCTTGAAGTCATTATGCTAAGTGAAAAGTGAAAAAGTCAGACACAAAGACCACATGTTGTATGACACCACTTATACAAAATGTCCATAAAAAGGCAAATCCATAGAGACAGAGATAGATTAGTAGTTGCCAGTGGAAGGTGGGAAATGGGCAGTGACTGCTAATAGGTATGAGGTTTCCTTTGGGGTAATGAAAAAATGTTCTAAATTCATATAGCGGTATTGACTGCAAAACTGTGATTATACTAAAAACCACTGAACTGCATACTTTAAAACCATGAATAAATTACATCTCAATAAAGGTATAATTTTTTTAAAAAATTGGTGACATGGAAAAATGGAAAGTAAGGAGATAGAATATATCAATGATTAACAAATGGAACCCAACATAGCAATATTACTGTTAGAAAAAAGCATAATCATAGATAAAAAGGGTTATTACCTAATGCTAAAAGAAACAATCCACCCCAGAAAGTATATCAGTCCTCAGCTGTATATACCTAGAATCTCAGCCTTAAAATATATAAAGTGAAAAACAGAAAAGAATCACAAGTAGAAACTGATAAATCTACAGTTAAAAGGAGATATTTTAATTTACTTCTCATACAAAAATGAAAAAGAAAAAAAAATAGCAAAGAAACAGGAACATTCAACAACACAGATAATGTTTAATCTAATAAACACATCTTGAACCTGGGACTGAATAATTAAGGAATACATATAGCTTTCAAGCCTGAAACATTTACAAATTTGACCACCTACTAGGTCACAAAGGAAGCCTCAAAATAGTAAAGTAACCTCTCTATTTTACAGACCACAGTCACTAGCTAAAAGCAATAAAATAAGAAATCAGGGGCGCCTGGGTAGCTCAGATGGTTAAACATCTGCCTTCGGCTCAGGTCATGATCTCGGGGTCCTGGGATGGAGCCCCACGTCGGGCTCCTTGCTCAGCGGGGAGTCTGCTTCTCCCTCTCCCTCTGCCTGCCGCTCTGCCTACTTGTGTTCTCTCTCTATCCCTCTGTCAAATAAATAAATAATCTTTAAAAAAAAGAAAGAAATCAAAACCCAAAAGATAGCTGAATAAAATCTGTAATCAATTCATAGATGTAGAAGAATTACATTCACCCATGAACCTACCCATGATAAGAGTTATGATCTATGTCATTTGGAATTATTGTGTCACATTTTAGTTATTGGTATACGTGACTTATTTTCTCACTGGGTAATACATTTGTCTCCATGCCATTCCTTGCACGCTATAGGAGCACGTGAAGTGTTTGTGGAATACATGAATGAATAAATGTTCAGAGAAAGATACAATAAAAACAAATATCACTAGGAAAAAACAGTGCCAGTGTCACTGTCCATTCTGTCCCATCGTGGCTGTTGATTTAAGCATTTAACAAATTCATACAATTTGCCCTCATCTCCTAAGACAGAACCTCAATGCAACTTTCACCTCAATGTTAGCTTCTTTTGTCTTTTCACTTTAACCTGCTAAAGTGAGCAGTTTCTTAGCCCATTTTGTCTAATCTTTCACAGTTACACTGATCTTAATTTTACTGATCTTGAATCAAGCAACCACACTGCAAGGGTGGGAACAATTTTTTTTCATATATATTAAATGTTTAGCAGCTAGCAGAGTGCCATTCACATTGTATGTTCAAAAGCATTAACTATAATGAGATGAAGGTTGAATTTAATAACTCTCAAAGCATTATTAAACAGCTTAAATACCTCAATAACCATTCAAAAGAAGTTTGTATGAAACACTCAGGGAATTCATATTATGATGATGCTAAAAAATAAGTGGACTTTGTGTGTGTGTGTGTGATCTGCAACCACAAGGTAATATTCAAATATTTTTTCCAGCCCTGTTTCATATATATATACATGAAAGTAAATAAGGTAAAAAAGCATATGGAAATATTATTGTCTAAGTCATTGTTCTACATCTCCAAAGACAATGTAGAGCTATTATTTCTATCTTGTTATTAAGGATCAATTTAAATTATGTGCATATTTGAGTATAAAGTGAAAGGGTTGCTACAAGGGGAAATAAGATTAAAGTAACAAAGTACAAACCACTTCATAGGTATTAATAGAAAGAAATACTGTTAAATAGCTACCATAAATCAGGGAGATTTCTGTTAGAGATAATAAATTCCTTTCTACTTTGTTAAATATTCCATAGCAGCCAAAATGAAGTAGTCAGTATTGCCAAATGCCCCGTACTTTCCAGCTCCAAGCCTTGATAAAATATGCTATGATGGAGAAGAGCACTGAATTTGGAATGACAGGATCATGATTTGAATTTAATCCCTGGTACTTACTAGCTGTATCACTTCCGGTAAGTCACTGACTTACCAGAATATCTAGCAAGAGCCTGGTATAAAGTAGACACTTAATAAGTATTTTCTGACTAAACGACCATTCTGTATTTCAGGACCTTCTTTTATAACCACTGTTAAAAAATAACTATCTCAAAGCTTTTGGGGGTAAGATAAAATTAAATAACATCCCAGAAGGTATCTAACAGTGCTCAACAATTAGTCAATGTTCAATCATTGTTTAACCCGTTATACTAGTCCACTGGGCTAGTGTCAGAATTCTATCCTTTTTCCTTAGAGCATATGACAGAACTTGGCACTTTGTTATGGTTGGACTTATGGTAATCCATTAGTTTCCCAAGGCTGCCATAACAAATTAACACAAATTTGATAAAGCATCAGAAATTTATTTATTTATCGTTCTGTAGGACATAAGTCTGTCTCTTATGGACAGACCCTTAAAGATACTTGTCATTGGATGTGGGCCCAACTAATCCAGGATGATCTCATATCAAAATCCTTACCTTAATTACATCTACAAAGATCCTTAATTCCAAATAAGGTCACATTCTGAGGTTCCTGGAGAACGTATTTTCTGGGGGCTACTATTCAACCCACAAGTAGATACTATAATCTTTATCTATTTCATCCCTTCCACTTCTCTTCCTGTGTTGCAGCTGATTTTCCCATGTTGTCGAGCCTCATGCTATTCAGAGTCAGGGCCGCCACGTGCAGAATTAGCAATACCTGAGAGTTTGTTAGACATGCAAATTCTCATGCCCATCCTAGGCCTACCGAATCAGAAACTCAGGGAGTGGGGCCCAGAAATCCATATTTAAATAAGTTCTTCAGGTGACCTATACCCCAACTAGAGTTTTCTAGGCCTTGGTCTAGCCCACACGCATCCATACAAATATAATGCTATATACTGTCATTGATTTTAAAGAAACCAAAGCAAGTATTAATTCTTTTCTTGCTAGATATAGAGGAATCTACGAGAAGCATATGTATAGAGAGCAAATGCCATTTACTGAAAAAAAAATATTTATTTATTTAATGATAATTAGGACTGCTGACTGGAATGGCAAATGGTAGAATTGCCCTTAATTGCCACAGACAGATAATCCATAAGAATTGTGTTTACATCAGATTTATATAATCTTCAGAAAGTGACCTGACGTTGCCCATATCCTTAAGTCACTATTCATCTAAATGAAAATAATTTTATTTTTAAGAAGAACAACTGTTAGCTGTGTTAAATCTGAGGGCATAAAATTTTGATTCAGCATTTTATGCTCATAGAAGACATAAATATGTTTTGTAACATTCCATTGAGAGTAATTGTCAATCAATGATCACTAAAGAGCTGCCTACTTTGACAGAATTTCCAAACGTGAATCTGTGTCTTGAATAATATACACAAACTCCTTGTCAAAAGTTATCATATAGAAGGAAAAGCCAATATTCTTATTTCCCTTTGGAAAATCTGCTGGGAAAATATGCTTGGAATAAGGATGAAAACTAGTTTTATGCAGCACTGTAAATGATGGTTATTACTTAATCTGAGTTTCCGGAGAGTACAAATAATAAAGTTAAGTTTTCAGGCCTAGATAATGATTGTTTTCACTCTTCTTTGAAAAGGGAGAAAATTAAAATAATCATTTTCTAGTCCTATTTTAAACAAGATTTTAACACAGAGAATACAAATCTAGTGCTTCTTACATAAATGTCACTCGATTACCATATGCTCCAGTCCAGTCGCTCTTAGTAGAGTTCAGTATTCCTGCGAGATTTGAACAATATCAGAGATCAGTCCCTGGAAATATGACTTATAAATATCTTGCTGTCCCCTGCACTATCTTTAGCCATGT